TAGCCTTTGTAAAAGTTAAGGACATTTCAACAATTAAATCTCTGCATCACAAAAAATGTTTTTGCATTTATCTAATGATTATGTTACTTCAAGTTAGAGGATGACAAAATACATGGAAAATCCCTTAGAGTTGGTTGTCAATCTAAACCACATCAACACTTCATATATTTGTCCTTTATGGGTTTAGAGATCCCGAATAGTTGAGGGCCTGTTCATTTGATAACTTTCCAGTACCATCTGAAAATTCCAGCAGTCTGAAACAAGATTGGCTATAATTAACTGTTGAAGCTGAGTCGTGGGTTCACAGAGGTTCAGTATTCTATTCTCTCTACTTCTGTACATGTTTTAAATTCCCCATGATAAAGTTTTAAAAATAAACTATATCTATTTTAAATCTATTTTAAAATACATTCTATCAGGAAGATTTCTTTAAATTTTAGTGTGACAGAAGTCACTCACTCACCAGCCATGCCTAAGAAGAATGCATTAAATCTCCGCTTCCTTCAGCTCTGCTTCACCATTTTTCTCTATTGAATATTCTCCTTACACTTCCATCACTCACTTATTCACAACACTTGTTCTCAGAATGTCACTATAGACTTTTTATTTTTTTGAGACAGGGTCTTGCTCTGTCACCCAGGCTGGAGTGCAGTGGCACAATCATGGCGCACTGCAACCTCTACCTCTCCAGGCTCAGGTGATCCTTCCACCTCAGCCTTCCAAGTAGCTGGAACTTCAGGTGCATGCCAAGAAGTCTGGCTAATTTTTCTAATTTTTGTAGAGATGGGGGTTTCACCATGTTGCCCAGGCTGGTCTCAAACTCATGGGCTTAAGCAATCTGCCTGCCTTGGCCTCCCAAAGTACTGGGATTACAGGTGTTAGCCACCATGCCCGGCCGACTTTCTGTCCAATACTCCATTCCTCCATATACGTAAACGGAGAAGAGAAAAAAATCCTGTACCTAATGTAATTAAAGTTCTATTATGTAGCTTAGAGTCTGGGGTCAGCAGACATAATTATAAATAAATGCTTCTAGCAAAAATAATGAAAGCTTCAAAATGCAAAACTATTTTCCAGAAATTCTAAAACAGTAAATGAGTTCCTATCCCACATCACTTTTTCTAAAACGATAAATGAGTCCCTATCCCATATCACTTTTGAGAGGCCTCACAGTTTTTGCCTACAAAAATCAATAGCTTGCAAAAAATTGTAACCAAAACTTGAATAGCAGAAACAAAACAGGATATTTGTTCTCAGGTAGGGGAGGACTATAAGGATTAAAATTATGCTTTGCCACTTTAGTTGGCTTGCCATGGGGCTCTTTTCCTGTACCTCCCAAAATCAGAAAGTGGCTCTCAGATCTTTTATTTAAACCCTTACATTGATTTCTCCATTTTCTTTCTTTTCTTCTTCTGTTCTTCTGTGAAAAGAAAAGAAATTTTCAGGACCTTCCCTATTTATTACGCCGAGGGCAAAAGTTAAGCCGTGGAAACTGAGCCACAGTTGTTTTTCTTCTCTGGTGAATGACTGTTGCTTCTTGATCTTTGTGTTGAGATGCTATATATTAAGCAGACTCCCTAATCTTTATTCAAACTTAGGCTAAATGAGATAAAGACCCTCATGATTTTTACCTCTTTACAACGAGATGTTAAGCAATCCTTTGGAGTGTAATCAACAGTAGCCAATCAAATCTTATATCTCTGTGTTAGCCTTTGTATGGAGAATGTTGTGATTCTGTTCTACACCTATTTTTGCCAATATAAACAATCTTCACTTATCCCCACACTGGGAGCACCAATAATCATTCCCTGGTGTCCGGGTGTGCCTGGACAGCTACCCTCAATCTTTGCACTTAAACTATTTTAATTGGATCCTCACTCTTTTAAATTATTTCAGGTTGACCTTTCCTTTCCTGCTTTGTAACATTAAAAAGCTAAATAGGAATAAGAATCACTTCTCCTCTCTTCTTAGATTTCTCCACATTAGCCCCACATCTCCTTGCCACGCATTTGTTTTAACTTGACAACCCTTTCTAGGCACCAGCTTCAGAGAGGGACAGGACACTGTCTTCATGGAGAATGTCTTCTTCTCCCTTTTCATGATCTCTTGTTCCATTGCCCTGTCTTGCAGAAAGGTAAGGGCTTAACTTCAGCCTTGGTTTGGATTCAAGATCACTGTTGTCACATTTGGGATTTTTTTTTTTTTTAAACAAAACACATAGACAAGTAATGTAAGTAAAGTGAGAGCAAGACTTGCACAACAGCTCTTTTGAGGACAATCAGGAGGTGTTAGTGGGCCCTTCAAACTAGAGGGCACCAGACCCTGTCCCTGCATCTTCAGTCATCTCTACTGCCACCTGCCCTATCCACACCAGGATCATCCCTCCCCACCCCAGCCCTATGATTCTGGGAAGCTCTTGAGCACATATAACAGGATCCAGACAGAACTTGGAATTTCTGTTGGAGCAAATTGGAATTCCTGAAATTGACTGAACCCTCCATACAGAGGGAGCTCAGTCCCCATCTCCTCTGTTTCAGGCCTTGCCTCAAATAGTGGTTCTGACCCCTCAGGAAAACAAGGGTTCGAGACACAGACACACCTGAGCCTGAGGGACTCTAAGGGGAGGTGTGAAGGTGCCAGGAACTATGAACAATGAGCAAAGCATGTCAGTCTTACCAGGCCATGCCCACCATCACACTACATGCTTTCCAGCATTTCTATTCATTACAAACCTGCTTTGACCTTGTTTTACAGGTTAGGAAAAACAAGTCCAGATTTATCCAGAGTTACTTGTAAGAAGCCTCCTTTGGTGTCTGGGCCAACACCACCAACTCCGTGGGCAGGAGGAGTTGCTGCGATCAATGAGGCGCCAGCATACCAGTAGCCATCCTATTTGTGTGTATGATGCTCCTTTCCCCCTTGCCCTCATGAGAACAGCAGACCTCAGGAAATGACTTCTCAGTCTAGCACTCTCCAGTCAGACCACTAGGAACACAACTGTGGTTGAACAAATGCTCAGTGCACTGAGAGACTACACACTCTGGGGGACTGTGGGGCATCTCGTAAGCAGCTGTCAGAAAGAACTCTGAGGATGGAGACCTTGCTTAGGTCATTCATGGGAGTGTTCCGCGGATACGGGTGTGCTTTGTATTGGGTGCTGTCAGGAAGTGGGGGAGATGATCTGATTGAGATCTCAGTAAATCTCATGTAGCACAGATGAGAGCAAAGCTAAAATGGGAACTGGTGATGAGGAGAGAGGGGGATGTTTGTGATTTCGTGGTTTATACAGTAACCTTGTGTTTGTCTATGCTGGGATGAAATTATGAAGTGGTCTTGTTTTTCGTCTCACTTCATCACAGTCACGGCATGACCTTGTCTAAGGCTGGTGTTCTGTCCGATTTACGTCAAACAAGAAACACCACAGCCCAGTGATGAGCGCCAGGATGGCTCCTGACAACATCAGAGGGCGGCTGTCTCAGGCTAGCCCCTGGCTGTCAGGGGATGCTTGTTTTTCTCACGTCTTCAGCGTCATATTTCATGCCTAGGAAATGTTAGGAAATGTTGTGGGGAATAAATGAAACAGTAGAGCCTATTTCCCAGAACTATTTATGACTTCAGTAGCTAATATTATATACTTTCCACTGTGTTGCCAATTGGTCTCTCCCCCTTGGGGACTGCTGGGGAAAATGGCCCCCTCCACCAACTACCACTCATTAGCATCCTACCCCAATACTATGTCCAACTTCTGAGTTAGGCAAACCAGGAAGCAAAGGCTAGGACTGAACTAGGATCTCATGCCTCCTGATCCTTTGCTTTCCCATACGCTAGAGGGATTGCATCGGCTGGTGACCAACCCACACTGGAACCTGAACGCCATTGAATTGAATCTAAAATTCCATGGGAGAGCGAGGTCAGGGAAACAACAGAGGGGGCAGAGAATGTGTAGGTTTCCTGTCAGCGAGGGACAAAGTGGGGTTTACCTGGGTCCCAGCTAACCTTGCAAAGCACACACACACACACACACACACACACACACACACGTGTTGGGCAGGTGTTGCGGCAAGACCCAAGGCTAGAAGCTAAGCAGTACTAGGAGTCTTAACCTTATTCCCCTCCTCTTACTCCCGAGACTCACAGCCCCTTATTCTTCTACATCGTGTATACATTTCCATCTGAGGGGAGGCTGTATGGTGAATTCATTCTTCATAAACCTTCACAGACTCCTCAGATGACATAATCAGTTAAAAGACCAAGTCAATCATTAGCCATGTAGGCAGAGAGTTTTCTCTCCATTCTACAGCCTTCACCCTTCTGCTGAAGTCTCATACATCTGTGAAAGGAAAAGAATATCTCGGGACCCCAAACTCACTATACCAAAGAAAAAAGTTAAGCTTGGAAGCTGAGTCACAGAAAACTGTCTTTCCTTTTGTTCCTAAACAGATAGCAAAAAGAGGCCATGTCTCCCCAGGTGGCCTCCTGCAATATGGGACAAGAGGAGAATAGAAATCATCCCCACTGCCCACCTTGAGATAAATGCATATTTGACTTTTCTATTGTTTATCTTTTGTAAAGTGCAGTTTTACTGAGTAGGAGACATACATAATTTACTGTTCCTCTACCTATTCCTTTCCACACGCAGCATGTGAATTCAGATTCAGTAAGTGTGAATCAAAGCCTCCTATGACCATACTCTCCCTCTTTTTTTCTTTCCTCCTTCCTCCTCCTGCCTACTTTTCCCCTTTAAATACTGAAGCCCTCAGATTCCTCTTTGTAAAAAGTAGGGGCCATAGATCATACTGTGGCTTTCGTCTCTTTTCCCTGGTGTATCTTCAACTTTGGCAAAATAACCTGTACATTAACTGAGACTTGGCTCAGTCCTTTTCTTTGGTTTACATGTCGAAGCTGGCACATATGACATACTTAGCCTAGCAATTTATACTTAATATTTGTTCTCCGGGCTTTGGGGTAGCACAGATAGAACAATATACCGAAGCCATTTCTCTTCAAAGAGTTCAAACAATTTATTTCACAGGAGAGGTGGAGGTCAATCTTCTTCACACAAGTGTTATAACCCATTAAAAAATTATCTTTCTAATCTCCGCAGAGTGGAAAACAGGTAATTCTCAACCTGGAGACAAGCTCTGAAGTACAGAGATATCACCTGCTGCAGGAGACGTGAAGGCTCATTCTTAAAGTTTTCTCACATTTATTTTCCATTTTCTTAGCATGGAATGTTCTTTCCAGCAAGGTCCATTAAGAGAGAGTGAAATATGAATACAGCTGTATTGGATTCCTGAGGAGGACTTGATCAAATACATAGAAATGGTGGCTTCAATGATCAAATTATTTTGCTTCTAGCCAAGTCGGATACAAGTCTCCGTTTTCTTTTCAAAGCTCCCTTATGCTGAGAGGAAGAACAGAATCAGACTGCAATCTAAACACAAGTGCCTGAACTCCTTTTCCATGAAGAGTTTCTATAGAATTCCACACTGCCTTAAGCACGACCTCACTCTTTCTCTCACTCTTGGGAGAGAAAAAAGTGAAAGATGCATCCGTGTAATTGACAACCTGAGTACGACCCCACCAAGGTTAATACATAGTTTATTATAATCATGTGGGAATTAAGCACACAATTAGAAGTCTTTTCTACACAATCTAACATCATTTCTGACTGTTATCTCATAGCCAAAATGAAGTTACTTTTCCTTTGTAAGCTCCTAATGTCTTTCGTTCAAATCACTTTAAAACATAAAGGAATCTTAAAAAGCAAACACAGGTTGATGCACCAATAAACCACTTATGCCCTATCTTATTTTGGTAAGTCTACATAGGCTCTAATTATCTGGTCATAATGTAAACAGATTGTTTAGAAATAACAGATACTTGATTCATAAAGCCCACTGTTGAGGCTTTCATGATACTGGCTCTTTTAACATGAGAAGAGGCAAAACGTGATTCATTGCTGCAACATAACCGATTTATACTTTGTTTTTCAAAATGTGTTGTCCCTGAGCTGGAAGGCAGGCTGGGAAGAGCGTGGGGCTCCCAGGAAAAAGGATGGGGTGGCTTCATCCAACAGTGCCACCTGCACGGTGAGGCTGGGGCTGAATACCAAACTGTGCTGAATTGCAAGGAGTTTCCCCAACAAGTATTATTTCCACAACTTAATTTTAAATTTCTTTCTCACCCAGACTTTTCTGAGACAAAAAATGAGTCTGTAAGAGGGACCCAATCTGTGTCACTTTTTTATCCGCCAGCTCCTGTCACAATGCCTAGAATGTAATAGTTGCCAAACAAATGCCTAATTAAAAATCTCTCCACCTGGGGCATCTTCACAAAAAGTCTACATGGGCTATCTTTAGTACTAACCCCACAACCAAAATTTTCCCTCAGTAAAAGAAAAATGACTGATATGGTTTGGCTGTGTCTCCACCCAAATCTCATGTTGAATTGTAATCCCCAGTGTTGGAGGCGGGGCCTGGTGGGAGGTGATTGAATCATAGGTGATTTAGCACCATCCCGCTAGTACTGCCTCGTGACTGAGTTCTCACGAGATCTGGCTGTTTAAAAGTGTGTAACTCCAGCCGAGCAAGGTGGCTCATGCCTGTAATCCCAGCACTTTGGGAGGCTGAGGCACCTGAATTCAGGAGTTCCAGACCGGCCTGGCCAATGTGGGGAAACTTTGTCTCTACCGAAAACACAAAAATTACCCGGGTATAGTGGCACATGCCTGTAGTCCCACCTACTTAGGAGGCTGAGACAGGAGAATCGCTTGAACTTGGGAGGCAGAGGTTGCAGTGAGCTGAGATCACAACACTGCACTCCAGCCTGGGTGACAGTGAGACTCCATCTTAAAAAAAAATAAGAAAGAAAAGTGTGTAATCCCTCCCGCTTTGTTCTTTTCCTCTTGCTCCTGCCACATAAGATGGGCTTGCTTTCCCTTTGCTTTCTGCTGTGATTTTAAGTTTCCTGAGGCCTCCCCCAAAACAGAAGCCTGTACAGCCCATAGAACCATGAGTCAATTAAACCTCTTTTCTTCGTAAATGACCCAGTCTCAGGTATGTCTTTATAGCACTGCCAGAATGGACAAATACAATGACTTAGCAAATATTTTTATCTTCATGTAAATATAAGGCAATGGAAATGGAATGCTTCATTTTTTTTCAGTAAAGGTATTTTAAGTATCAATACAAAGAGAGGAAAGGAAATTTGAAGAAATGGGAAAATACATTCTCTAGAATTTGTGTCACCTTGGTAGTGACAGGCCTATCCTATAAATCCCACTGACAAAGTGAGGCCTAGGAAAGAAAAACACATTCCCAAGAAGATCTTCTCTTCCTTTGGCCTTCATGGCAGACAGAAGTGACTTTCCCAACAGTCTCTGTTTCAGCTCAGTCAGGTTCAACTGCACTGCCCTGAGAAGATGGACAGCAGTTGGGAGACTCAACACTTACTGGCACATTCCCTGCTCTTGGTCTGTGAGGTTTTATTCCCATAAATGGACCCAAGCATGTATTCAGATGACAATCTGTCCACCCACAGATGCCCTGGGTGACTGATGCGGAAAAGCAGCCCTACCCGTGATTACTGTAGGCTTCACTGAGGCCACATGGCATGGACCTGTGCCTGCCCCCCTTTTGGGGCAGGGAGTGGTGTGAACTCACCTGAGGATTTCTGAAGCTGGGGGTTCCCCGTGGCTCAGAAACAGGCCCAGAAGTCAGCTGGCTATCAGGACACCAGGGACCAACAACACTCCTACTCCTTCCTAGAAACCAGATGCTGTAGGCTGCCTCCTTATTTGGGGAATGGATCTTTCATTTCATAACTGGTTAAGAGGATTTTACATGCAAAGTCCCCAAAAAGAAATTCACTGTGATGCCTAGTTAACTATCCCTAACTTCTTTTCACTGATATTCTCAGTTTGCTATTCTCCAGATACTGTTCCCTGAATTAAATTCTGTTGATCTTTCTCACTCAAAAAAGTGATGAGTTATCTCCAGAACATTGATTTTTATCAACCTTGAGAGTAACGCTGCCTTTATATATTATAGTGACCAGAATGTTCTGTACATTTCCACTGCTTCAAAATTAAGTTTGTAATAATTACTTGGACATAAGACCTGCCACTGACTCACGCTTTATAAAAATGATTTTAAGTCCATGTGTGTAGCATTACCGGGATATAATTCTCTAGAAAGAGAATTTCCATTTTATTCATTTATTTAATTTTTGCAAACAATTTTAGAGGCAGGGTGTTAAACTGATTAAAATTTCACAAGATTGACATTATTGCTTAAAGTGCTTGAATTGGTTACATTTTTAAAAATTAAGGTACAGATTATTTTAAATAAAAACTACAATATTTTTAGCAACAAAATAATAGGAATGCCACACAAATACAGTAACTATTTTGGTTACACAGAAATGGAAGCCAAAAATAAATTAATGTAATACTGGAAAACAGAAATTTAATTAGGCAGAAAAGTAAGAAATAATTTTCCCTGACCCATGCCATTTACATGAGTTCATTACAATAGTGCTGATAAATGCCTTGACCATATAATAGCAAACAAGGGCAAAACATTTAGTGCACAATATTTTAATACACATGAATATACAAAGTTGATCAAAATGCAATGTTGAAAGATAAAATCCATCTGTAATAAAGCTACACTCCAATACCTAAAATAAGCCTTAAGCTCCAGTTAGAACATAGATCATTATTCGGCATGCCCATGAAATTAAGGGTATCCATGAAAATAATTGCATAGGGACCATTTCTGACATTTTTTCCCCATTTTATCTTAAATCCAAAATATACCAGGCCATAAAACCAAGTATGACTGACTTCCTATTCAAACTAATGCCCTGCTTGTGTTGTGCCTCAGTCTCTTCAGAACAGTCCACTTCCTATGACCATAGAAGGGAAAATGCACCAACACAATAGGACTGGATGCCAGCATTTTACCAACATTTACTTTTAAACACATGATTTTGTAGCATTTTTTATGCCATAACCTAGAGGCTAAACTAGTAAGTAACCAATAAAGCAAATGTTCCTTCTGTTTTTTTTTAAGTGTAAAACACTGTAACTTATTTTATAACACCCAGCAGTTAAAAGAAATACAGCAGGCCTACTCACTTCTGCAGATGACACAGGAAATCCTTGGCCGTTGGAGGGAATACTGAGGAGCCTTTGGGCTATTGCTGACCTCAGAATGGTCTCACATCTCCCACACCATTTCCTGTTTTACACTATGAATGAGGGATGTAAACTAAAAGTGTTTGCATGTTACCCTCTTTACATAAAGAGACATGATTGGGAAAAACTTGTAGCTGCCTAGTGTTTGTTTCATTTATTGAGGAGGAAGAGTGAAAAAATTAGCAGATAGCTCTAAATTTTAAAAAGCTGATGGAGTGTTGCTGGAGAAGTGTGTTTTGGTCTTTTTCCAATCTTCTTTTTCTGCACCACACAATTGTTTTAATGTCTTTGCAATATTTTCTTATACTTACCCTTTCTCGTTCCAAAAATCTATCCATGAATGCTGAATTTTAACTGACTCTTTCTATTAAAAGGAATTACTTTGATTAAATCACTGGGAAAAACATTTTGCACAACCAAATAGAAAAGAAATATCCTGAACTTATGACTGAGCATTTAAACATTACTTCTACAGGCTTCCAATTGAAATATTTTTTCTAATAAATTAGCTTCAACAGTTGTTTCAAAGATAATTTTAATAGCTTTTCTTATGAATCAGTTCCAATATATTAGAGGCCAACCATCATTTTCTTAAAACTTTGTAACTTGCAGTCAAATATATGGATTCTATGTAGTACAAACATTTTCCTACATTAATCACCTTCAGTCGGAAAGTGCCTCTCCTTAAAAGGAGACAAAGACTCACCTTCCAGGTAGTGATTACTGCATAAGTTTCATGGAGAGAAAAACAATGCTTATAAATGTGAAATTGCCTCTAAACAAGGCAAGGTACATTTCCATCACTGTATAAAACAACAACATGAAGATCACCCTGTTTTGTCTTCTCCAGTGAAAAGTAAAACATTTCACTTCAAGCATAAACAAATGAAATGTTGGCATGCTTACTTAAGTTCTGAGCAATAAACAGTTCAAGATATTTCAAAGATAAGAAATCCAGTTTTCATCTAGATAAAGTGCTATCCTCTTCATTGTTGCAAAATGGCCACTAACATTTTCCATTTCAATTTTAGTTCACATTATGCCCAAAGTTTGCATGTTCATTAGCGGATGCATTAGGTAACAAAAATATGTTCACAGTTTATTATAGTGTATGGAAGTTACGTGACTTCCAAAGGAAGCCAAGATCTAAGACTCAAAAACCAGCTCAACGGCAAAACACCAAACGACCCTTTTAATTAAAGGTACCAATATTCAAATGCTCTAATAAATACATATATAACAAAAGTGAAAAAAGTAACTATAGTGAGATGAGGTTCTTCCAAAAAAATTCTGTCTTGTCAAGCATTTTAGAAGTCTGAGCCAAAGAAACAGCGCCATTTTGTTCATTCCTCCCCCTGCCCACGGACACTTCCTTTGAGCCACCTTCATACCCAGCTAACTCTGGTATTCCCTCTAGGGAAGGTTCTGTATCAGCCCTGGGACTCGCCAGTGCCTCAGTAAACAGACGGACTATATTAAAAAGTTAAGTTGTACAATGTGCTGATGGCTGGAAAGATGCAGTACCTTTGTTATTCCTGATAAGGAACAATGCCGTGCTGACTGGCTAAGGGGAGGTTTGCCAGCCCTGCAGTCACTGACTGTGACACATCAGCAGGATTGGAAAGATACCTTGAAAAGCTTAGCAGTGCCGGATACAGGATAAATACAATTCACAGGGCCTCACAAAAGTGTCACTGAAAATAAACAACATAGAGTTATTTTCCTGAAACTTGGGTTTTGGTAGAAAGGTACGAAAATAACTTTTCATTGTCCACAAAAACTTCCCCCTCTTGGCTTTGCCTGCCCTGAGCCTTCTTAGCCCCTGGAATTCTAATGGCTAGGTCAGCACAGCCTAGTGCCAATGCCAGCCAACACCAGCCACCGCGGACAGCTTCTCTTCACCCTGTTTCATGTGAAGGATGATTTTAGTATTGAGGTTACTCACTTTTCAACATTTTCACTTGCACAAACTTAAAGCTACAGTTGCACCCCTAAAAGGTGAATATCTACCCAATTCTTCTGTCCTTTTATCAGAAAAGAGGCAGAGAAGTTGAAAATGGGTAGCAATGCTTCCAGGGACAAGTTAAAGGAATGCACTGTAAGAAGACCCTGGAAGCCACAGAAGTTTAGCAAACACCTAAAATAGACCATAGACATTCATAGGAAATGTCATTCTAATACAGCCAGACATAATGAATGGCATAGCTTTCACCCAGTCCTAAAATTAGCAACTGTTATTCATACAAATCAGACTACAATCTGATTGCAGTTAACTCTACGTCAGACTGAAATAAAACCAAGAGTAGTGCTGCATGTAAAAACACAAAAGGAGAGAGTCTAACTCGGCCAGACCATTGAGACTCAGAGTGATACCATTAGTGGGCCACTGGGGAAGAAGAAAGACTGCAGAGAAACCAGGTAATAGTGCTTTGAACATTTTCCCCCACTTGACTCAGTTCCACAGTTCTTTAAGTTACTCTCTTGACTGATAGAATAAAATATATCCAGATTCTGAATTTTTTGATATATCTGATGTCAGGCCATAGAATTCTTCAATAGCTTGAGCATCTATTTTCTGCAATAAAGGAGAAAGAAAACAATACAATTATATAATATGATTCCTGGGGAAAGGAGATAAAAACTAATGGAATATATATTAAAATGCAAGGAGGACAATTTGTTATGAAATCATGATTAGGAACTTTCAATAGCAAATGGAGAATTCCACAGACTTGGCTGAAGGACATCATCACAGAAATTGTACATCTCTGGGAAAGTAGGCAACGCCTTCATGCATTAGCAACCCTGTGTGGGCACTCTTTGAAGAACAAGACAAGACATCTCCCAGATGGTAAACTGATGGGTCCTGGAAATAGCCTTAAGTCTTTCCGGCCACCAGAGTTTAGTGTTATTCCACTTTTAGTGTTATTCCACTTTTAGTGTTATTCCACTAAAACTGCTACCCTAGTGGGTTAAAATAGATCATGTCTTTGAGTGTAGAATTCATTCCAGCTAGTATTCTTTTATAACAAAATCAATACATAGAATGTATTGGTGTAATATAAAGATTTCCAGATCCAACAGACTGAAAAAAATACTTTAAACAATAATCGATACAAGAAAAATTTGTTATAATAAAATAATTTTAATAGAACTTTGAAGTCTATTGTTTGCCCTGTATCAGAGGGGGCTTTAGTCATGATAGAAACAAGACTTATACTTAAGTATGATTTACGGTGGCACAGATAGAGAGACCCCGTGTCTATGGCTGAACCGTAGAGAACACTCGTCGGTAAGTCCGTGATCACATGCTCCCTTTCCACAGAGCATGGGGATTAGCAGAATTTGGTTTTGAATAGAAATTTAAGTTGTTTTCAAATTACATTATGGGGAAACAGGCCTATTTTAGAAAACATCTATACGTATACGTTCCCTGAAATACTATTGATGCTCTATGACTACTGGAGAATAATCTGCAAACCAACCTCTACAATGTCATCATCAAATAAAAGCCAGAAGCCGTGACTTTTCACGATAGTGATATAATGCCCACGATTAGGACCACTGGAAAAGAACAATTAAAAGAAAGTCAGCAAGTTAACATTTATCTCTTTATAAAACTCTACTTAGCTCTTTATAAGCAGTGATTCTCTGGGAAACAACCTATGTCATCAGCATAAAGAACTTGGAATATAGCTCATGTCTATGTTCACAACACTATGCTGGACACAGGAATACAAAAGTGGACAGAAGAGATGTCTTCTAAGGACTCATAATCCAGCAGCAAAAACAGACACTCAAATTCAGTAAATATTAACAAAAAATTACTCTCTACCTATTCTGTGCCAGGCCCTATTCTATCTGTCAGGGGAAGAAGCAGTGAACAAAACAAAGACCTCACTTACTTGGGACTTGGGGTAGGGGCCAGATTGGCAATATACAAACTAAACTTATAAATGTATGTCAAGCGGTGAGAAGTGTCACGGAGAAGGATGAAGCAGGGTAATGGGATATGAGTGATGGGAGGAGGTAATATTTGATGGAAAGTGAAGGGAGGCCACTTTGATAATGTGAGCAGAAGGAAATTTCCCTGAAGGAAATGGCAGGGGTAGGGGTAGGGGTGGGGTTGGGGTCAGGGCATGGGAAGAAGCCATGTGACTCTGGGATGGAAGTTTCAGAAATAGGGAATAGCAAGTGCAAACACCTGGGGTGAGTGAGTAGCACTTGGTGTCTTCAGGAACAGCAGAGAGGCCAAAGGAGGCCAGAGCAGCAGAGTGAGCGAGGAGGGGAAGACCGGAGGGGGCTGAGGGGCAGGTGTAGGAATCATAGGTAAGATTTTAGGCTTTGCTTCGAGCAAGCCAGGAAGAAATGGGAATTTTGAGGAGTTGCATGATCTGTGTTTTAGAAAGACATTAACAAACCAATAAGCATAGTAACAAGTGTTAAAAAGCCATATACTATGCTATACGGAAAAAAGCAGAAAGGACAACTAAGCAGCTGTCACTATGTAGTTAGGTTAGATTTGCACGAGTGAGGAGATTTTAATCCTAAACCTAAAACTGTGTTTTAACGCACTGTTAAAGTTGAAAAAGCCAAACTTTCCCCTTTGTTTACCCTCTTTCAACACAAGATGATGCCAATGATCTGTTCCTGCCCTTTCTCCAGCCTCCTCCAGCTACTGTCTCCCTTTCCCTCTGAGCTCCAGCCCATCGGGCTCCTCTCACACGCCACCCCCTTCACATTACGGGCCTTTGCATTGCTGTAAACTCTGCCAGAGATAATCCTCCCCCAACTGCATTCTTTTCAGCCCTCAGCTCAAATGTCACCTCCCCAGATAAATCTCTGCTGACCACCTCACCTGAAGAGGTATTTCCCATCACTCACTCATCTCCCTGTTTATTCCTGATAGCACTGATCAAAATCAAATTATCTTGCAATGGTTTGTTTTTGGAGGTAGCAGGGCAGTGTGTTTACTTGTTCATTATCAGTCTTTCCAGATAGATTATAAATTTTGTGAGGGCAGGGCCCCTGTGCTGTGTGTCTTTTCGTCACTCTATCTTCAGATCCTGGCATGGAACCCAGAAAATATGAGCTTAAAAAAAAACTTGCAGCAGAAATCAATGCATGAGGCTATGCACCTGTTGCAACTGTAGGCCTGCCTTCCTGGCATGGAAGGGAAGGCAGGCCCAGCTCCCTAACCTCAAAGCTTTCCAGTGCTACCTGGAAGCCACCCAATCCACATGCATAGGCCAACCCTGCTCCACACAGGAGAACAATGCTACTTCTGTGGGGAGGAGTTTGAAGAATCCTAGTTAGTGGCATGCATGACTTGGCACCAACTGATTTCTGCTACCAGGGCTCTTCTGACCTTGTGCTCACAGTACAGAAACTGACCTTAGAGAACCCAGCCTCCCGCTGGACGTCCAGTTCCCTCACCTGGGTCTCTGCCAGTCCTCCCAAGGATTTGAATTGGGCACCCACAGAGACCCACACTGAAAGTCCTGTGTACCCTGTGCAAGGGGCCCTCCTGTTCACACCACCTCTGCCACCCACTTTAGCCACAATGCCCACCAGGTCCCAGGCTCTGCCTGCCTTAAGACCTTCCTGAACCCTGCACCAATGTGAGGCCTCACCCAGTGCTCGGCTAGGTTCCAGGTCACTGGAACACTGTGTTCTTCAAAAGAATAACAGCTCTTCTTCAGGGAGAACACCACAAAACTGGCATATAACTAGCAAATAAATACCATTTTACTGAGAATACAAGAAAACATCCAGTGACTTAAAGTTAATACATGCAGGATAAAATATGGGGTGCTTCAGATGTAAAGTTACAGTTTCTGATGCCATCTACCCTAGTACACAATTAAAAATGTATGAATCTATTCCTGCGCATGGCAATGGTAGTCTCCTGGTAATGGTGTGTTCACCATAATCTGATTTTAGCAGATGGCGGAGAAAGACTCTTACTCTGTGACACGCCCTAATCTAAAACCTACGAAGGCGGGGGAAAGCTGTGCCTACTCCCAAGACAGAACATACACCTGTCCCAGCTGAGCAAAGAATAACAAACAGGTGAATTTTCAATATATTTTTCTTCCCTTATACCAAATTATGGAATAAAAAATATCTGCTCACACTTTGGGAGGCCGAGGCGGGCGGATCACAAGGTCAGGAGATCGAGACCACGGTGAAACCCCGTCTCTACTAAAAATACAAAAAATTAGCCGGCGCGGTGGCAGGCGCCTGTAATCCCAGCTACTCGGGAGGCTGAGGCAGGAGAATGGCCTGAACCCAGGAGACGGAGCTTGCAGTGAGCCGAGATCATGCCACTGCACTCCAGCCTGGGGGACAGAGCGAGACTCTGTCTCAAAAAAAAAAATCTGCTCAAAGGAATTTCGGCAAAATGCTTTGCCTTTCCATATCTAGAGGCCTTCTCTCTCTTATCTTTTTTTCTGATTATATACTTATTACAGAATGTTCGGGAAAGAACAAAAATAACAAAGAATATTTTTTGAGAATATATTTTCAATCACTCAAAGTGCCAAAAAAATATTAAATTTGATCCACTGCTTCCAGTCTTTATTTACACATCTTAAAATACTTTTGAGATCATACAATAAATGCAACTTGGCTTTTTAAAAATTAAAATAATAGCATAGGCATTTCTCCATGTTATTTCAAATTCCTCATAACCATCATTTCCATGCAAAGGAGATTTATTAAGTGATTTCTCTCATGATAGAACACTTAGATTTTCATTATTGGAATGCTCTTTATTTTATGTGTCTGCAGGCATGTTTACATATTTTTTGTGATGATCAGTAAGAGTTTGGAAGATATCCCAAAAGTACTGAGTGCCACGGCCCAGGAAAGGTGCAGCTGGGTATACTTCAGCGAAGGGGCAACCCTTACACTTACCCTGTATGTCTGCTTCCAGTCTTGCCCTTACCTGCCACAGTGAACGACCACAGCAACCAGGTCATACATGCGGTCCAAGTTCACCGCATCACTAGAGGTGTTGAAGAGCCGGAGTTCCAGAGGGAAGACCACACGGTAAGACAGCTTGGTATATCTGTGCAGCTGCTCCATGTACTTGAACCGCTTTAGGTGCAGGGCCAAGATCATGGGCAGCTTTTTTACCCTCATCCTAAGAAACCATGAAATAGAAAATCAGTTGTACCCAACACCTGGTAGGGGAAGAGAATACACTGTCACCTGCACAAACAGAATAAGAGGAAGTTCTATCCAACTTCAAACCAGCAAACAACCAAACAGTTTGCAAGGATAAAAGTATGTTGGCTTATATAGAGCTGACTTAACCTACATCCCTGGCTCCCAGGAGCGTCCCAGCAGGAGAAATGTACAACGGCGTGTGTCTATTTGTTGAAAGGAGATGTTTCAGAATTTTTGTACAAATAAAAATAGGTTGTGTAATTGTTCTCCACCACTGCCCTGTGCCTTCCAGAGAGAAATGATACTTGGACAGTCTACACCCTCAGATGATGGAGAGGAGGGTTGAGAGCTTTTGAGAACAGGAAGATGGGAGGAGGACAAGGTAGACGGTGCCGACTGCTGGACTTACAGGTTCCGAGGACTGGCAGGAGATGGATGCTTCTGACACACACTCTTGGGCACTGGGACACCAAGTGTGCCAGGCTCACTCTCATTCCGACCCTTGTGATCTTGGGCAAGTCACTTCCCTTCTCTAGCTCTCAGTTTCCTCATTTATAAAATGCAGGGGTTGGTTTAGGGCTACATTTTGCAAACTGGGTGCATGAGAGCACTGGAGATGTTAACAGATGTGATGTTTCTGTGGCTAAGTAAGTTTGGACGATGCTACTTTCTGCTTTGAAGATCCTAAGTGTACATTACCACACTGAAGATTTTGAGAAATCCTGCAGTAAAGGAATTGTTCTGTTGTTTGATGTTGGACTTCCCAAACTTATATAAACATAGAAAGGTTTTTTACTAGGTGATCGTTCACCTAGTAACTGATCATTCCTCAGTAAAAAGTCACAAAAAAAAAGTAAAAAGTCACCTAGTAACTGATCATTCCTCAGTAAAAAGTCACAAAGATAACCGTTTATGCAGAGTATACTGCTAGAATAACGGGTCTTCCAGTTATCTTCCAGGCCCCCATTCCATGAATGTACTGAATTAAGTGTAAATGCCGTTTAGTTTGCATACATTTTTAGTGCATAGTATGTGAAAAGGACAAATTTTAAAAGAATAGTTTTAAGGAATCTATTAAGGAAAAGCGCTGTTCATACAAATAAGCAAGTAAAACAACACTAGAGAAATAAGAATTATGGGGAACCCCATATTTTACAGGAACACATGACATTGTAATGTATAAACTCCCCAGGGCTAAACGAAAAACATCTTAATGCCACAAAGGAAGACCCAAGGCCAGTCTTAGGCAGACTGAGGTTATAAGGATGGGGGGCAGACGTGAGTGACCTTCTTTACTAACAAAAGATATCTACCTACCTCCTTGAGGCCTGCCTGCTACAGTGACTAACTATCTGTAAGTTTTGCAGCAAAGAAAAGTGTACATGTTTGGAGTGAACGCCTGGGAAGGCTGGGCAGAGAAATGATCTCAACCTCAGGTCTAAACCCCTGAGGGGTTTAGACAGCAGTACTGAGCATCTGCCAGCTGCCTTGAATACTCCAGACCACTGACAAGATAGATTTAACTCACGGAAGCCTTTGCAGGATGACTGAAATGGCAACTTTCCTGGCTTGTAGGAGCAGATTAATGGGGAACAACTGGTTATTCCAGATTTTCCAAGAGCTGTAACTGTCTGGTGTGCAGAAAAGATGGTGCAATAACTTACTTTCTTATCACCTGTTTTCTTTTTTTTTTTTTTTTTTAGACAGAGTCTCCCTCTGTCACTCAGGCTGCAGTGCAGTGGTGCGATCTCAGCTCACTGCAACCTCTGCCTCCTGGGTTCAAGTGATTCTCCTGCCTCAGCCTCCCGAGTAGCTAGGACGATAGGCGCCCACCACCACACCCACCTAATTTTTGTATTTTTAGTAGAGACGAGGTTTCGCCATGTTGACCAGGCTGGTCTCAAACTCCTGACCTCAAATGATTGGCCTTCCTCGGCCTCCCAAAATGCTGGGATTATAGGTGTGAGCCACTGCACCCAGCCTCTAATCACCTATGCTTATAACTGATGTGTTAATAATTTCCTCATGAGTCCTTATGAAATGATATATATTTTTTAAACTTCTGTCTCTAAATAAGAGGTCCCAATGTTTAAGCAATACAAACAAAAAAAATATTGGGTGTCTACTATGTGTTATATACTCTGCTAAGTATTTATATAATTTACCTTTAATCTCAAGAGAATAGTGATTACATTTAATCATTACTTGTTTATCTAGCATAGTATCTGGCACACAGCAGGACTCAACAAATATTTGCTGAATGACTGAATGAATAAACAAATAAGTAAACAATCGGACAGACAACTCTCCAAGTTGTCCTCTGCAAGGTCAGTGTTCTTATCCCAGTTTCACTGGTGAGGAGGGTAATTGACTTCCCCAAGGTTCCACGGCTACAAGCCCAGGAAGCTGAGATTGATTCAAAGCCAACCCTGCTGGGCCCCACAGTCTGGATCCTTCTCACCACACAAAGATAACCCTGAGCTAAATCTTTACCTACCTTTTCTGGGCTTCTTGTTTGCTGCAGCATGTTTCACAATAATATTTTTGTTCACTACACAGTGTTTCTGTGTTGCTGAAGTCTCTGTAGAGGAAATTATTTTCATCTTTAAAAAATGTCCAAATCTACTTGGTATACCATGTTTTAAATCCCTCAATTAACCTGTAGGGTAATTTTTAAATAAAAATGGGAGAAGTAATAAAAAAAAAACCCCTACTTAAAACTAGGATGGAAGAGAAACCACAGGATAAATAAAAAGAAGACTGGGTGCCATTATGATGGTAGACATGTTCTTTACATCAAATCATGAATTTACCATGAGAGATTCAAATATAGTTTTGTTTATGGGATATATAAAGGCAGATACAAATTAGGGTTTCCAACTGGATTCAGAAAAAAACCTCATGATTTAATGGTGAATACCTATAAGCTAGAAACTAAAATCATAATAGAAAAATGCTGTTGAGTAAAAGCTCACCATAAACACTAAAACTTAGGTCGAAAAAGGAAATCAGATAATATGCAAGGTGACATTATTGTGTAGTTAATGAAAAACAGTATTTCTCTGGTAGTCCATATTTTCAAAGAGCACGAAAGTAAAGATAATGAAATTTAAATCATATACAAAACTGCCCTCTTACTGAACTAAAGAAATCCTGAATTAATCAGATGACCACCTCCTACCAACCATTGCTCCCCACTGCTCCCCCGCCAGAGGACATGAACTTTTGCCTGCCCCCTTTGGAGAACAAAAGCCACTGTGTTTGTCATATGTGTATCTGCCTTATCTTGAGGTTCTACTCTGCTACTTATGGTTTTTATTTTTTAAATGTCATGGTTTTTCATTCTTTTCCAGCCATCGAGATTCTACTTAACATTTCTGTGGTACTGCTTCAAGGGCTGAAAAGAACATTTGGACTAACACCCTACAGTTTTGAAAAATTCTGGGACATTTCCTTGTTCACAGAGTGTCCTAGCACCACAATGACCAGATTTTATTAAACATAAAATGTTATTTAAAATGTGTTAGGTGATTCTACCACTTACACAGAACACATCAAAAGAAAACACGGATTCTTTCATTCATTAAGTCCCCAAATGTTTCCTGCCAGTCCTCTGGGTTAGATTCTGGGGATCCACAGAGAATAACTGCCCTCATACGGTTCACACTTCAACAGAGATGCATGCAAATGAACCACTGACAACATGAAACGATCAGTGCAGCTTCAATAAAAAGTATTACATGATTCCCCTGCTGAAACCCTCCAGCAGTTTCCACTGCACTTATCCACCCTGCCTCCTTTCTGCTTCAGTCACACTGGCCCTGGGATATCCTCTTCTTACCTTAGGGTGTTTGCAGGTGCTATTTTCTCAGCACTGAGAGCTTCCTCCCAGAAGCTTCCATGGCTGGCTAACATGGTTGTTCAGCACTCAGCCTAAACATCCCCTCTTTGGAGAAAACTTCTCTGGCCACTTTGTCCAAGCCTATCCAGCCCCTATCACATTGCCGTCCTATTTCTTCCCAGCATCTGAAACCAATCTTCTGTTCATTTGATTACTTGCTTCCCCTCTATGTGGGCAGTGCGCTTGTCATTCCTATATCCCCAGCACGACACACAATGGAACGCATTAATATTTGTTGGTTGAATGAATGAACCAACAAAGACAGAAGCAGGTGTAAAGTCCAGGAGAAAGCACAGAGAAAGAGGGAAAGTGTGCCAGGTGAACAAGCAAATAAGAGTCAACGACTCCAGAGAGAGAACACTGCAGTGCAGAGGCCTGGAGGTAGGGAATAGCAGCAGCGGTGTATTAGTCTGTTCTCATGCTGCTAATAAAGACACATCTGAGACTGGGTAATTTATAAAGAAAAAGAGGTTTAACGAACTCACAGTTTCACATAGCTGGGGAGGCCTCACAATCACGGCAGAAGGCAAAGGAGGAGCACAGTCATGTCTTACCTGGCAGCAGGCAAGAGAGAGCACGTGCAGGGGAACTCCCATTTATAAAACCATCAGATCTTGTGAGGCTCATTCACTACCACGAGAACAGTATGGGAAAAACTGCTCCCATGATTCAATTATCTCTGCCTGGCCCCTCCTTTAACACGTGGGAATTATTACAATTCAATGAGATTTGGGTGCAGACACAGCCAAATCATATCAGGCAGCAAGTCACACAGCCTGGAATACGCTACCAAGACACCAGTATGAACACTAACCAACAGTCTCAACAAAGAAAAGACATAATCAGGTAGTGCTTTTTGGAAATTCCACTTTTGACAGCATGGTAGAGGGGGGATTGGAGAGGGCTAAAAGGCAAGAAAGCCATTAGAGTGCAAATGTACTAAACTTTCAGATTTCAAGTACGTGGTATATAAAACAAACTCATACTTAGCTGATTGAATACTTCAGTTGATTAAGTGCTGTGGAATCTTGTTTTGGCTGCATGGGATTGACTGGAGTGGAACCAGGGAGCCAGAGGCAGGGAGGTGAGTATGGGCGTTATGGAGCTTCATATCCTCCCAATGTCTACTGTGGACAAGCTGTACTACCAAGCTAAAGGGTCACAATAGCCAAAGAAAGGCCAGCAACAAACAGGGAATCATTCATTCCTACTCATTCTTATTTTTTCCAAAAAGTTATTTGATTTGTACACCCAGACAGGTGGAAATATAGCAGAAGTTAATACCTAATGTAAAGACCCATTTTACAAAGAAGGTCGCTGACAGAGTAATGCTCTTAGGGCATCCATGAGTTGAGAATTAGAAAATGAAGGTAAATTAGAAGAAGGGAAGGACCCCAGCAGTAAATGCTGAGGCAGAGCAGCTGTCAGTTAATGCTCTATACCTGTTAGAACAAAAATGGGCAACAGTGGTGCAGGAAACTCTCCAATGAGAAAGACAGAGGGGCACTTGCTCTCTCCCACACTTGGGATAAATTATCAAAGCATAGAGCAGAGGTTGGGAGAAAAACACAAAATTCTTTGTATTGCTTTAAAAAGAGGCAGAGCAGCAATAAAATATTACTTAAAAATACACTTTGGGGCTTGATATAGTTTGGATCTGGGTCCCCACCCAAATCTCATATTCAACTGTAGTCCCCGATGTTGGAGGTAGGACCTGGTAGAAGGTAACTGGATCATGGGGGCAGAATTCTCATGAACGGTTTAGCACCATCCTCCCAGTGATGTCCTCGCCATACATCGTGGTTGAGTTCTTGCGAGATCTGGCCATTTAAAAGTGTTTAGCCCCTCCTCCAACCCCTGGCTTCTGTTCCAGTTATGTGATGTGTCTGTTCCCCCTTCACCTTCTGCCATAATTGTAAATTTCCTGAGGCTTCCCCAGAAGCCAAGCAGATGCCAACACCATGCAGAACGATGAGCCAATTAAACCTCTTTTCTTTAAAAATTACCCAGTCTCAGGTATTTATTTATAGCAACGTGGGAATGGACTAATATAGGGCTGCTCCAAAAGTAGTGAGTTATCTCAATTGATGGTTCACAGTCAGTTATAGATCAAACTCCTTGTTCTACTTTTTCCTCCATTCTCAGGAAGGAAGGAAGGAGGGAAGGAGAGAAAGAGAAGAAAGAAAATACACTTTGGGAACAAATCTAATAAGAAATGCATGCTTTTACAAAAAAGGCACTAAAGCCTTATGCAAGTATTTTAAAACTTAAAAAATGGAGAAAGACTCTTTTTGGGGAAGGCTATCATTTATTGTAAACACAGCTATCGTGTCCAAGTTAATGTCTATCTTTGATATATTTTCAATTAAAATCTTCTTTTTCACTCATCACAATAATTTAAAATCGGTATTAAAAATCCTCAAGTAACACTTCCCGATAATTTCCATGTCATGATCCACACAGAAATACTACCATGAGACACACAGTAGGATATACTGACGAGGCTGCTCCTATGGCTGGCCATGGGGCTCTGGCACTGCCAGGCCCTCCTAGCCTCCCAGGAACCGAGGAGATGAATACATCTAACCCATTTTCCCTGACTCACCAGTTGGGAAGTTTTATTCTAGAATCTAGTGCAGTGGTTCTCCTCCTGCTCGCCTGGCTGCTCATTAGAATCATCTGGGGAGCTTTAAACACAATCCCAATGCCCAATCCCACACCCCTCCACCCCCGACTCTCCCTCTATTCAATTACATCAGAATCTCTCCAGGTGGAACCCAGGCATTATTGTTCTTAAATCTTCCAATGTGCTGCCAAAATGCCAATGTAAAGGCAGAGAGTCATTACTCCAATGCTTCCCAATAACCTGGGGATATTGTCGGCGCTGGGAGAATGGGAATTTAAAATGAGAGGAAGATAGAGGAAAGGGAAGGTGGTTTTAGAGCACTGAGCATTTGGAGGAGAAAGGGGAGATTCTGGGAAGGAGTCATGGGGAGGGTCTAAGGCATTCAAGTGGAAGACAAAAATAACCAAAAAGGCCATGCAAGGATAATTAAGATAAACTTCACATAGTTTAAGTTTTTGCCTGAGGTCAGTCCTGAACTTTTCACAAGGAAAAAACATCTTTCTTTCTCAGTATTCTCCTATGACACAAATGGCTTACTCTGCCTAAGACACAGTACTGAGGTTTGAAATATTAGAATTATAGCTCAGCTACCACACAAACTTAATGGTTTCTCCAGATCTATATCCTGAATTTAAACACTATTCATATCATTTCTCTGGAACAAAAGTTCAGTGAAAATACATTATAATTCACCACCTAAAAACTTTGTGGAAGAAGGTGCCCCAGATCTTACATTCAAACCCCACCATTTTAGCTTAATTTTTTATTTTTTAAAGTTATCGAAATGAAAGAAACATATCAGAAGAGAAATGCAGACATAACATTAGAGAAGAAAATTCATAATTCTAGTTTAAAAAACAAATCCTCAAAAATGCAATCCAAATTAAACCATGAAAGGGGCCAAGCAAGAGCCCACCCTTCCTTCTCTTTTGTCTCAGAGACAGAGAAAGCTAACGACTCCACTGGCATCATTTGCTCCCTGCATCTTTCTCCCGCAGGTCCTTCTCCCATCACGGAACTCTGAGTGGTGAGTGGCAACACCTGGCAGGCTTCTCTTTCTGCTGTAGAGGTGACATCTCACACGCATGTTAGGGCAGGTATAGCCGAGTTGGTCAAGGTCTAGTTTAGGTGTGATGTAAAACAAGGGAGTGGGAGGCACTTCAGAGATATCAGCCTGCACAGTGCAATAAGACAGAGTCGAATGTTTAAAAGGCATTCAGAGTCTACTTTATACTCACCCACCCTAGCCTGAACATTTCCAAGTGCCTCTAGCCTGACTTCACCAGGTATGGATAACCAATATACACATTTCTCCAGGAAAAAAAATTATGGAAACCTAAACTTCAGTTCTATTTCTTATAACAAGGTTTCCCAAAGGTTGAAATTATCACCAGTCACTTAACACTTCACCTGGCTGATCTCAAATCTACAGCCACTGCCACCTGCCCTTTTGAACAGTTCAAGTAATTCCTGGAAAAGAGGGAATGTAGCCAACCTCCCTAACTCCAAATTCTCACCAAGGAGGAGAATGGGCATATAATGGCCTTCTCCCATTCCCTCATCAAAAACTAATGGTGGTACACCCTTAACGTTTTCCACGACCTGTGATCATAAAACCTTAGGAAATAAAAAATGGCTTCTTTTCACCGGAATGTTAGGAACTGATAATTGTTTGGCTCTGTGTCCCCACCCAAATCCTATGTTGAATTATAATTCCCAATGTTGGGGGAGGGACCTGGTGGGAGGTGATTTGATCACGGGGGTGGATTTCCCCTTACTGTTCTTGTGATAGTAAGTTCTCACAAAATCTGGCTGTTTAAAAGTATGTAGCACTTCTCCCTTCACTCTCTCTCTCCTGCCACCATATGAAGATTATGCATTTCCTCTTCACCTTCTGCCACAATTATAAGTTTCCTCCTGTATAGCCTGTGTAATTGTGAGCCAATTAAACCTTTATTCTCCATAAATTGCCCAGTCTCCAGTATGTCTTTACTGCAGTGTGAGAACAGACTAATATAGAAAATTGGTACCAAGAGTGGAACATTGCTATAAAGATACCTGAAAATGTAGAAGCAACTTTGGTACTGGGTAACAGGGCAGAGGTTGGAACAGTTTGGAGGGCTCAGAAGAAGACAGGAAGATGTGGGAAAGTTTGGAACTTCCTAGAGACTTGAATAGTTGTGACCAAAATGCTGATAGTCACATGGACAGTGAATTCCAGGCTGAGGAAGTAACAGATGGAAATAAGGAAGTTATTGGGAATTGAAGTAAAGTTCACTCTTGCTATGCTTTAGCAAAGAGATTTGTAGCATTGTGCCCCTGCTCGAGAGATCTCTGGGACTTTGAATTTGAAAGACATGATTTAGGGTATCTGGTGGAAGAAATTTCTAAGTAGCAGAGTGTTCAAGATGTGTTCTCGCTGCTTCTAAGTCTATGCTCGTTTGCATAAACAAAGATATGACCTGAAACTAGAACTTATATTTAAAAGGGAAGCAGAGTATAAAAGTTTGGAAAATTTGCAGCCCAACCATGTGGTAGAAAAGAACAATCCATTTTTAGGGAGGAATTCAAGGCTGCAGAAATTTGCATAAGTAAAGAAGAGCCAAATGTTAATAGCCAAGACAATGGGAAAATGCCTCCAGGAAATTTCAGAGACCTTTACAGCAGCCCCTCTCATCACAGGCTTGGAGGCCTAAGAGGTGTGAGAAACACACTCACCCATCCAAACCCAAAGAATGGACTTAGAGTCACAAAGAACAGTGGAAACAAGACTTTTAACGGTGGTCTTGCAAGATCGGATGTCTGGTAGGCAGGTACACCAGGGGCAAGTACAGCAGCTAATTTCAGTAGCTAATTTATCTCCTAGCACACAAGTCCCTCCCCCAGTTCCTCAATGGTTGAGTACTATGGGGTTACAATCTTCCCAGACATTGCCTAAGTTTCATTATTCCCTCATAAGGTCATACCCCAGTCCCCTTCCCTGCTTAAGTTTCAATTTCCCAATAACAAAACTTTCTTCCCTTTTATGTGCTGACCCCTCCCCTATATCCTGTTCACTTACAGTGACTTTCTAGGTGCCATGAGCTGTGCAGATTGTCACAACCGCAGGCTGGCTGACAGTACTTAGATTTATTATGCCTTGAAAACAAAACATTTAAAATGTTTTCTCACAGAGGGAAAAATGGTTTCACGGGTCAGGCCTAGGGCCTCCACTGCACCATGCAGCCTTAGGACATGGCAGCCTACACCCCAGCCACTCCAGCTCCAGCTATGGTTAAAAGGCACCAAGGTACAGTTTGGGTTGTTGCTTCAGAGCATGCAAGCCCTACGTCTTGGCAGCTTCCATGCGGTGTTGGGCCTGTGGGTGTGCAGAAAGCAAAAGCTAAAGTTTGGAAGCCTCCACCTAGATTTCAGAGAATGTATGGAAATGTCTGGTTGTCTAGACAGAACTCTGCTGCAGGGGCGGAGCCCTCATGGAGAACCTCTACTAGGGCAGTGCAGAGGGGAAATATGGGGTTGAAGCCCCCACACAGAGTCCCCACTGGGGCACTGCCTAGTGGAGCTGTGAGAAAAGGGCCACTGCCCTTCAGACCCCAGAATGGTAGATCCACCAACAGCCCACCCTGTGCACCTGGAAAAGCTACAGGCACTCAATTCCTGCCTGTGAAAGCACCTGCAAGGGCTCCTCCAAAGCCACAGGGGTGAAGCTGCTTGAGGCCTTGGGAGCCCACCCCTTGTGTCAGTGTGCCCCGGTGTGAGACATGGAGTCAAAGGAGATTATTTTGGCGCTTTAAGATTTAATGACTGCCCTGCTGGGTCTCAGACCTGCATGGGGCCTGTAGCCCCTTTGTTTAGGTCAATTTCTCCCTTTTGGAATGGGAGCACTTACTCGATGCCTGTACCTCCCATTGTATCTTGGAAGTAGCTAGCTTGTTTTTTATTTTACAGGCTCATAGGTAGAAGGAACTTGCTTTGTCTCTGATGAGACTTTGGCCTTGGACTTTTGAGTTAATGCTGGAATGAGTTAAGACTTTGGGGGACTGCTGGGAAGACATGATTGGTTTTGAAATGTGAGAAGGACATGAGATTTGGGAGGGAACAGGGGCGGAATAATATGGTTTGGCTCTGTGTCCCCACCCAAATCTCATATTGAATTGTAATCTCCAATGTTGGGGGAGGTATCTGGTAGGAAGTGACTGGATCATGAGGGCAGATTTCCCCCTTGCTGTTCTCAAGATAGTCAGTGAGTTCTCATGAGATCTGGGGGTTTAAAAGTGTGTAGCACTTCCCCCTTTGCTCTCTCTCTGTCCTGTGGCTGCTTCCCCTTCACTTCCACCATGATTGTAAAGTTTCCTGAGACCTCCCTAGCCAGGCCTCCTATACAGCCTGCAGAACTGTGAGTCAATCAAACCTCTTTTCTCCATAAATTACCCAGTTTCAGGTATGTCTTTATAGCAGTCTGAGAATGGACTAATACAGAAACTCATGCTGTAAACAGAAACATTCAGAAGAAAAAAGAGGCCATCATGGCCTATAAAACTCTTTGCAAACAAAGAAATTACAAACTTGTCCTAGACACCTGGACACAAGCAGAAAAGCCAAACCGATAAGAAGCACTCAGGTAACTATCAGTGCCAGGGTGGGGAACTCTCAGAGCCCCGGGAAATGGGAACGCAATCAGCCCCCAGCTCACACAATACATTACACCCAGATGAACCAAGAAGCTCTTCCAAGCTGTTGTTGGTGCCTTTTCCCTGAAAGATGGCTTTCTAACTGCAACCACCACAGCCAAATCCCTTTAATCTATTCTTCTAAAAGGTTCCAAGTAACCTGAGCTCCTGAAATAAAGGTTCTGTCATCTGGCCCTTACTCATAAAAATTATGATACTATAACAATGTCTCTGACACCCTGCTGGAACACCCCAAGCCTTGGGGAGGCCCATGCTGACCACCTGGTCTACACAGGCACCTCCACTACCAGCCACTCTTCAGACTTGTTTTATTTCCTTCAAAGCAATGATCACTGTCTGTGCATTCCCACTAGAATGTAAGTGCTGTGAAAGCACAGGCCTTGTCAGGTTCACTCCTCTATCCCCAGTGTCTACAACACAACCAGGCAAATTATAAGCACTCATGGCCTCCTGTTGAAAGGAAGAAAGGCAGAAGGGAGTGAGGGGCTCAAAGGGAATTACGTCTTTACAACAACTCTGAGCACATTTTCAATGCACAAGTCAATAAAAATGTCTACAGTAAACCTGGGCAAACATTACTGTTACACTCAGGGCTCCTTATCTTCTCTTCACCCTCATGAGAAAGAATTTCTTTCCATGGATGATCTCCATAGAATGCTTAAAAGATGGAGGAACAGGCAACTCCCTCATTAGTTCTCAGCCCAAAGTGCATAATATTTAAAATAATAAAATAGATTATCTTACAAAAAGAGTAATCGTAGGCATCTATAGCCTTTATTAACTTAATTGTATGAGAGAGAGAGACTGTGTATGTGTGTGTGTGTGTGTGTGTATGTGTGTGTGTGTGTAAGAAAGAGCAACACTGATTGATGAAGGCCAAAGCCTACATCTGCATTAAAGAGTAACATTTTATTTTTAAATTTAACAACCAATTACTTCTATTTTATGCTCTTTTTTCTCAGTGGGACTCTTCTCCAGACCACATAATCTCTCTTGGGAAAGGAGAGATAGAAAATAATACGATCATATTGGTTTAAGAGGAGGGAAGATTATGTCCTGAAGAAATACAGGATTTTCTCTCCCACTTAGCTACAAGCCTGATCAAAAGCTCACACTGCCTCAGAGTTCATAAGGTTACCTTAGACAGTGGGTAATGGATGTATTCTGCTCCACATCAACAGAAAGGTCAAGAAAATCTTCATCTTTGCTACTAACCTGAAACAAAAACAGGAAAAAATACATTAGGCATGAAATATGTAGTAGATAACACTTTGAATATGTATAGGTAATCATTGACTGCAATAAAAACCATAACTGCAGTTAAAGTCCTGCATGGACATGTATACTCATTGGCACCCAATTACCACAAAAGCAACCTAATCTAGAGAAAATCCCAAATTCTCAATTTAACCTCATCCCTATCCCAGTTTTGACTTAGAGCTTTTAATAGTTAAAACTCAACCAGATTTCTCTTCCTCTCCATTCATTTCTCCCATTGTTTCAAAGTAGGGAGTATTAAATATCCATATAGCCCAGATTGCAGAGTGATAAAAAATGGAAATGGAAAAAGGACAAGAGACTTACAAAATCTATCACCCAGATGACCATCCCTTGTTGAGCTGTTTCCACTTTTTGCCAGTCCCTTGAAATCACTCCCTTTCTCCCTTGCCCCATCATTCAAACTGTGTGGTGGGCCAGGGAGCCTGACAGGCAATGGGCTGCAGAATCACACTGACCATACATAAAGCTGTTCTTTGGCCAGGAAGTGGTCATCACATGCAGAGCCCTGTGCTGTCCATGACAATGACCAGACCTGGGGCTGGCCTGGAGCCTGGGCTCACACAGGCCCGCCATACTGTGGGCAGTTCTCAGCGGAGCTGGTTCAGTGGCCCCAGCTGTCTCTCAGCCTTCAACAGCTCACCCCACACTAATTCTGGATCTCATATATCTCCAAGCTCACTGAGTAAGTGCTTACTTTCCACTAATTCACTGACAACGCTGGGGTTTTACTGCCTTGTTCCCGGAGTAGCAGGAACAGTTGGCAACAACCTTCAGGTGCTCAGTCAATTAGCAGCAAAATGAAAACAACATTCCTTTTAAAGTGTGACAACTACCCTATGACCCAAAATTCCAGAAGTTATCTGAAGAAATATTCAGAGATGTGGATGCTCTCTTTTATACTTTCAGAGGCACACACGGGAGCCAGGCGTGGTGGCTCACGCCTGCAATCACGGCACTTTGGGAGGCTGAGGCAGGTGGATCACTTGAGGTCAGGAGTTCAAGACCATCCTGGCCAACATGGTGAAACCCCGTCTCTACTAAAAATACAAAAAATTAGCCAGGCATGGTAGCACGTGCCTGTAATCCTAGCTATTTGGGAGGATGAGGCAGGAGAATTGCTTGAACCTGTGAGGCGGAGGTTGCAGTGAGCTGAAATTGCGCCACTGACTCCAGCTTGGGTGACAGAGTGAGACCCTGTCTCAAAAAAAAAAAAAAAAAAAGTACACACGGGAATGGATACTGAGACACAAGAATGGGTATCGCCCAGATCTGTATCCTGTCTCTGCCACTTATAAAGTCGATAGCTTCAGGCTAGTTACTCAGCCTCTGTTTCCTCATCTGTAAAGTGGGGACAGCAAGAGTGTCTATCTCATAAAACTGTTGTAAGGAGGAAATAAGATAGTACATGTGAAGTGCTTTAAAAAGTAAGGACTCAATAAATTAGGAAGCAGTAAAAAATTTTAAGTGGCCTAAAATGGTCAAAAAGTTGGGAATGGCTTTCTACATTGTGGTTATCATACGAAATGAAAAAGTAGGTTATACAACTATATATAATTTAATCCCAATTTTGTATTTAAAAAAAAAGGCATCTTTATACTTACACACATGCATCCCCTCCCTTGGCATTCTCTACCATCCTGTTTTAATTTTTTAATGTCATTTACTTCTGCCATGGTAGAATGCATTAGTAGCCCCAAATCCTCACCATTGCCTCTATTGACTTGTTTGTCATATGGCTTCACAGATACTCTCATCAAGAGGTGATTATGTTTTGCCACCCTTGAGTCTGAGTGCGACCATGTGACTTGCCTTGGCCAGTGGGATGCTAGAAGGCAAGTTACCAGCAGAAGCCAGAACAAGCATTTGTGAAACTGCTCTCTTGCATCACCATAAGAAGGATAATCCCAGGCTAGCCTGCTGCTCCCAGACAGAGGAGAGATCCATGGAGGAAAGCTGTCCTAACTAAGGCAATCCAGCCAAGCCCAATCTAGAGTAAAACCCCTAATGATCTTGCAGACATGTGAGTGGGCTAGCTGAACTACAAATACACAAGTTCAGCCGAGTCCAGCCTAGACCAGTCGACCACAAGCCAACCCACCATTGCATGAGTTATAATAATAAATGATAGTTTAAGGCTCAGAGTTTTGAGATGGTTTGTGACAAAGCAATAGATTACTGATACAACTACTTATCCTTTTATATGTTTTACTTTTATATGTTTACTGTCCATCTCCCCCTCACTAAAATGAAAGTTCAAAAGACTGGCTTCCATAGTAACTAAGATCCTAGCACACCAATACTCTCCAGAAAACTAGAAACTATAAACTCACATAACCAAAAACTAAAAGCAGCTACCTGAAGGCACTGGAGAGTGAACATAAGCAAGCACATGGGGAGTCCACACTTGGAGAAGGACAGCCGTACACAACAAGTTCATGGTTTCATGGCCTTTAGCTGGGGGTGCTAAGGGGGAAACGCAGTCTTCCCGGTCTGCAAGCCGGAAGACTAAATCTGGGAAACCATGCCCACTGGAAAAAAAGGAAAGAGGGTATCTCCAACCCTGCCCACATGTGGCTGGCCCCTGATCCACCCATGCATGGAATACACACAAAGCAACTTGGCTATTAACAAAATGGCTGCCACCCAAAATTCAAGCTGTCACCCAAGAAACATAGTGAATAGTTTGGATCCAACCAAGGTAAGTGCCTGTTAAACCTAAAGAAACTCAATATGCATTAAAGAAAACTAACAGAATCTGGCTGGGCGTAGTGACTCACACCTGTAATCCCAGCACTTTGGGAGGTGGAGGCAGGTGGATCACTAGGTCAGGAGTTCGAGGCCAGCCTGGCCAAGACAGTGAAACCCCGTCTCTACTAAAAATACAAAAATTAGCTGAGCATGGTGACAGGCACCTGTAATCCTAGCTACTTGGGAGGCTGAGGCAAGGGAATCGCTTGAACCCGGGAGGTGGAGGTTGCAGTGAGCTGAGATCTTACCACTGCACTCTAGCCTGGGCGACAGAGCAAGACTCCATCTCAAAACAAAAAAAAAGAAATCTAACAGAATCCAGTGTCTCTGCCATTTAACATTCTCAATGTTCTGAATAAGATCCAAAGTTACAATATGTGACAAATGACTTACCTAAGACATTCTTAAAAGAAAAAAAACTGAGACCAATCCTGGGATGACCCAGATGTTAGAATTAGCAGATAAGGATTTTAAAGAGGCCATTATAACTATCATCAATAAAATAAAATCTACTCGCAATGGATCAAAAAACGTGAAATTTCAGTAGAGAAATAGAAACAATAAAAAAGAATCAAATAGAAATTCTGGAACTGAAAAACGCAATACATTGAATGAATTTAACAGCAAAGTGGAGGTGACAGAGGAAAAAACAAGTGAATATGAAGACAGATCAATGGAAATCACCCAAAGAGGACTAAAGAAAAAAGACTGAAGTAAAAATTAACAGATACTTAGGAATCTTTTAGCTAATACTGTACATATAATCAGAGTCCTAAAAGGGGAGAAAAGGGAGAACAGGGCAGTAGAACTGAGAAAATAAAGGCTGAATATTTCCCAAATTTGGTGAAAGACATCCATTAATAGACTCAAGACATTCAACTAACACCAAGCAGGATAAATACAAAGAAGGTCAGCCAAGGTGCCTCACAGGCAAACTGTTGAAAACCAGAAATAAAAAGCAAATCTGAAACATCTAGACCAAAAAAAAAAAAGATAAGAGGATGGTTCAATTGGCAGCTAACCTCTCATCAGAAACTATGGAGGCCAGAAGACAGTGAAACATCTTTCATGTGCTGAAAGAAAAAAGTGATCAGCCTGGATTTCTTATGTGCCATAAACAGATCATTCAAGAATGAAGGCAAAATGAAGAGAATTCATTGATATAACAGACCTGCATCACAAGGAAGGTGAAAGGAAATTCTTTAAGCCAAAGAGAAATGACACCAGTTTGAAATCCAGATCCTTGAGTATAAAATGCATCAATAATGATAAATATTTGTGCAAATAAAAAAGACTTTTTCTCGTTTAATTTTTGTGTAATATTCACACCTCTTTAAAGGAAAACGCATAACACTGTCCTGTGGGATTTATATTCTACATAAATGTAATACATATAACAACTACAGCATAAAGAACAAGGTAGAGTGGGAGCAGAGGGAATATACACCTATATATTTACATGCTTTCTAGATTTCAGGTGAAATAGTATCATTATCTGTAAGGATACTGTGAAAAGTGAAGAATGTCTATTGTAATCTCTAGCAAAATCACTAAAAATACACACAGGCATGCGAAAATATACTCAGAAAAGATCAAGAGGAAAATTAAAAGAAAATACAGAAGAGGAACAGAAGAACAAAAAATAGAGGAAATAATAGAAAACAAAATCCAACTATACCAGTAATTACCATAAACATTAATGGACTAATAATTACAAATAAGAGACAAATATTGAATGAAGGATTTTTTTTAAGACAATACCAATTTGTATGCCATCCACAAGAGCTAAACTTTATATATAAAGACACAGATTGAAAGTAAATGGTTGGAAAATGACATACTATGCAAAGAGTTAGCATAAGTTTGTAGAGGGCTAATACCAAATAAAATAGATTTTAAGATAAAGTTATTAAGAGAAATAAGAGAGGACATTTCCTAATGATAAGAATATCAACTTATCAGAAAAACACAACAATCGAATATGGAGAGTCCCCACCACAGAGTCTCAAAAACACGTGAAGCTGGAACACTGTTTCACCAGTAAAAGGGAATAAACTCCTGATACATGCCACAACACCACTGAATCTCAAAAATGTTATGTAAGTGAAGGAAGTCATACATAAAAGACCACATACTGTATGATTCCATTTACATGAAACATCCAGAAAAGGCACAACTCTAAAGAC